ATGATATAAGGGCTGGAAGGAGGGAAATAGTGTACTGAGATGAATGAAGAGAACTTTAGGAGAGGATGTGAGATTCGAATCAAGCTGCAGAGATTGGATAGGGTTTCATTAAGGGCAGAAGGCAAGACCAAGGACATAGAACATGACTGGTTTTGAGCCAGGCTTGAGAGTTTGGGGATTCATCCAGTAAGTAGTGGGGAGTCATAGATGATGACCACAGAGATGGGAGGGGGGGATGTATTATGACAAAGGCACATTTGCATTGTGTGCTGCTTAGTCTTCACTTCCATGCACATCATTGATAAAGAACACTCCTCCATGAGAGTGATGGTAGATTTGGGGTATTGGGCTTGCCAAGGCTCTAGGGGAAACCAATATTAAAATGCAGATGTGCTTTTAAGGTAAGAGAGATTATTATGCTAATTATATGCCTGGCATATGCAATGGGATAGTGATCCTGGATACGTGATCAATAACTGTGTGTTTGTGACCAGGAAGGCAGGATTATAAAAAATAAACTTGGGAAGTCTTTTGGAGACACAGGTTCAAAGAAGAACTAAAAACGTGCTAGTGCAAGGATCTTGTATTCAGACCACCATATAAAAGCAAAATCAGGCGAAGGAAAGCAAAAAGGAACCTAGGATATACACAGAATAGAGTGAAATTGATTTTCATAAAACTGAGTAACGATTTGAAACATCACATACCAGAAATGATATTCTATGGGCAGAGCCAAAGCTTCAGCTGCATTATCTGAAAATAGAGAAATTTTGACTTAAAACCAAGGAAGGAGAGTAGCAAATAGGAAAACGACATTTTTCAGGTATCAGAAGATTGAAAAAAGGGAACATGAATGGCTGTTAATCGTTTGAACCCATGCTAGGTTAACTGAGTAACATGAAAGCACATATTCTGAATTGCCCTATTTCATATTTGTACCCCAATACTTTCTCTCTCTAGAACAAACTCATCAGACCATGTTTCAAGCCACCATCATCTCTCCCCTGGATTATTGTCATACCATCTCTCCCTGCTTCCATTTTTCCTCATTGTCATTAACACAGCAGCTAGTGCTATGATTTATACTAAATGTAAGTAAAATTTTGTTACACCTCTGTCCAAAACCTCCAGTGGCTTTTCAAATCTCTTAGAGTACAAGCAGAGAGATTGCAACAGCCTTTCATGATGTGCTCCCAACCTCTTTGACTTGATTTCTTATCACTTTCTCTTTTATTTTCTCTGTTTCAGCCACCTTGTTCAACTAGCCGTTCCTGGAAGAATCCAGGCATGTTCCTGCCTCCAAGAATTTGCACTTGCTGTTCTCTAGGCACAGAACAATCTTTCTCCAGATAGCGTGTGACTTGCTCCTCACTTCCTTCAGATCTCTGTTCAAATATTACCTTATGAACAAGGCCCTTCCTGACTACTACACATAAAATAGCAACCTTTCTTCACCTTTACTCTATATCGCTTTTACCTTTATTTTCTTTACAGCCTTTATCACCACTTGACATTTAATTATTATCAGTCTCCTGTGGCCCCTTTTCCTTGTCCTGTCCCCTTCTTCCCCCACATAGAAATAGTGGTGTAACAGTTGAGGTTATATAAACCCTGAAGTCAGATTTACTGGGTGTGAAGTGTAGCTTCACCACTTACTACCTCTTAAGCCTTGGATGAGTGACTTAAACTCTGTATCTCAGTTTTCTCATCTGTAATATGGGAGTAATAATAGTACCTGGCTTGTGGCTGTTGTGAGGATTAAATGGGTTAATACATATAAAGCATCCAGAACAGTGTGTGGCACATTAAAAACGCTATAAAGGTCAGCTCCAGGGCTGGCCAGTTAGTTCAGTTGGTTAGAGCACAGTGATATAACACCAAGGTCAAGGGTTTGAATCCTCTACTGGCCAACTGCCCCCCCCCCAAAAAAAAAAGTCAGCTCGTATTAATAGTGTTATTAGAATGTAAATCGGATGAGACTAGGGACTCTGTTTTGTTTGCAGCTATATCCTCAGTGCCTAGAACACTACTTGGAATATGATAAACTCCGAATAAATATTTGCTAAATGAATGAATGGTACATAAAAAGTTCTTACAGAAAAAGATAATGTGGTTCTCACAGTGGTGGTGAGTCAACACCAAAAAACTTGGGGGAAAAAACATGAACTTGAGGATACTACCTTTGGAAGAAAAATTTTCTCTGTTCTTCCTGGGATGGTATTTACAGGAGTCAAACAAACCAAAATATCAGAAATTTGTGGAGGGGATTATGTTTGCAGGTTACTCAAAAGGATGCTGTCCTACCCTGGTAGTTTTTTCCCCCTTGATAAATATAACCAATAATGACAATATAAATTTAACTTTTCTTCTAGTTGTGTGTGATCAGTGTTCACTTGTGATTTAAATATCTTGTCCTTAGTTATTTGATTTTGCTATGCATATTAACACCTAAGAATAGTGCACGGATATTTTTACACTGAATTACAATAATTTTAATAAAAATTAAAACAAAAATATTTTTAATCTACAGGTCATGATCCATTTGTGAGTCATAAAATCTATGTGGTAGGTTGTGGCCAGGATTTTCTTTTGTTTTAATGAAATAGGATTAAAAAATAGTATGTCATATATAGTAAGGATACATAGTGTTTTGTGAAATTATTATTTCAGTTATTTTGTGTGTGTATCTCATGCCTGTGTTTTCTGTGTCATATAATTCTTACTGAGAGTACTGGTCAAAAATGGTTTAAAGCATCTGCCCAAAAAAATGGTGCTTAGAAATCACTAGGTCACATAATTATTTTTCTTTCAGAAAATTGCCTTTATGAAATTATTATTCTGGTCAAGATTATTCAAAAGGTTTAAGTGGTCATAGATATTTTTCTCTATTAGCAGTAATTTTATTTTATATCAAATTGCCCACTCTCCACCCTCAAAGGGCTTCAAAGAGGAACAATTTCCAAGAAATTAAACAGTAAGAAGGAACTCAAACTCTACCCCCCATTTTAAAGGATTAGAACTAATATTTCCTTCATTTCTCTTTCCGAAGAACACTGCAGTCAGCTCCTTTCTGACTCTTTTGCCTTAGTGCTTAGATCATTAGGATATTCATTTAATATTTTGATGACATTTATAAGAAAAATAACAATAGTGGTCATTTATAATACCTTAGAGTTTACCAAGCTGCCAGCTTCTTGGTGCTCTTTATTCATGATTTCATCTTTATATCAACCTAGAAATATAGACAGTGTTGGTTTCAGGATTCCCGTGTTTACAGATCGAGGAGACTCAGGCTCAAAATATAAAGCCCAAGACTGTCTCACTCCCAAATCTTCCACGCTTAAAAACATTGATCTCTTTCCTCCACACCTCACCTGACTGGAGGGACCCTGCCTCTCCTCCCCAAGTGCATTTCTTTCACTTCTCAGTGTGTCTTATCTTCTTTACTTTCCCTCTTTCCTTCATTTTATTTCCCTTTTCTCCTTGGTTCTTAGTGTCATCTGTGACCAGTTGGGCCCAAAGTGCTTATTTACGTCTATGCAACTAAAAATGTACTAATAGTGAGTCAAGTGTCTTGCTATTCAAATGGAAGCCCAGTCTTCTAAAGCTGGTTTGAGCTATTTCATTTAGGATGATCGAAATGGTCCCTTCCTTCAGTAAACTGGGAGGTTTTGGGGTTTTTTTTCCTGTTTTTCTTCCCATATTACCTGTGTCAGTATTTGCATAGCCCTAATTATTAATCATATACTCAGCATTCTTTCTTCATGAGACAAAGTGATTGATTTTTATTACATATATTCCCAGTGCCTGCTTGTTATTAGGTTTTCTGCATTTTTATATTTTTTTCTCTGCAAATTATTTTTTAGATCTTGGGATTTCCAGAGGAAAAGATTGAGGGGGAATTATCAAGAATAGTTCTTTTTCTGAATAGTTAAACATAAAATGGCCACAGCCTTGGCCCTTCAGACTGCAAAGAGGCAGGAAGAACTTCTGGAAGTGAAGGTAAAGGAAGAAGAGAAGGACCATGCCTCTGGGCAAGAATCTGGCCTATCAAGAAATAATCCTCATACCACAGAGATCTTTCGTAGAAGCTTCAGGCAGTTCTGCTATCAGGAGACCCCTGGGCCCCGGGAGGCTCTTCAAAGACTTCAAGAGCTCTGCCATCATTGGCTGAGACCAAACATGCACACCACAGAGCAGATCCTGGAGCTGCTGGTGCTGGAGCAGTTCCTGACCATCCTGCCTGAGGAGCTCCAGACCTGGGTGCAGGAGTACCACCCTGCAAGTGGAGAGGAAGTGGTCACTGTGCTGGAGGATTTGGAGAGAGAGCTGGATGAACCAGGAGTGCAGGTGGGAAGATGGGGGAACAGGGGTTTGTACCTATAGGAACAGGTACGGGGTTTCAGTGCAACAAGAGGAAGAAAAGGAGGATTTCTTTTTGCCTGACTTGATCCATTGTAGACTTTTAATCTCTCTGCCTTTGTTTTTTCTTTGCTAGCTTTTTGGTCCTTCTTTCCATTGCAAGAAGGCCTCCTTGCAATCCTTGCAGTGTCCTCTCTGATATTTCGTTCCAAACTGTCCTTAATTTCCACCAGGTCCCAACCCATGCTCATGAACAGGAAGAGTTTGTAAAGGAGAAGGCGACTCTAGGAGCAGCTCAGGAGTCTTCAAGTGGCCAGTTCCAAACAATGGAATAGCAGCTTCAGTGTAATGTGCAAGAAGTGTGCCCAGCTCAGGAGACTGGTGAGGATTCAGATTTCTTCAGGGAGCCTCCCTCATTTTTGGAATGCTCATCAGTTCAGCACATTCATTAGTGTCTGCTCTATGTCAGGCACTGTGCCAGGTACTGGGGATACCTGGCAGATATGGTCCCTGCTCTCACGAAGTTTACAGTCTCGTGGGAGAGGCAGACAAACAAGCAGTTACAATAGAGTGCATCTTCTCCCTGATGCCTGGATATAATTGTTTTAGAGTGGGAAAGTAGACAGAAAAAATGGTTACTTGTCCCCTTTTACTCACTGTCCTGGCTACTTTTTTTCTTTTGTCTTTGGATTAATGTTATCTTTCA